ATCCCTGCCCTCTCTGAGCATTATAGCCACAGCCACCAGCACGGTCTGCATCTGGCCACCCCCCTGAAAGCAGCTCTGGGAACCCCATGATGTCCTGTGAGGGACCAGGGCTGTCACAGCCTCCTCCACAAGCATCACTTGGCCCATGCACCCCTGATACGGTGGGGATGCCTTGCCAAAATGAAAGGGAACTAGCACTTAGCATTCCTCTGCAATCCTCCCCAGTCAGCTGCTTACTGCCCTGGCTGGGTTGTGCTGGTGGCAGGCACTCTCCTCCCCCAGCCCCATCCTGATGAGCACCGTTCCCGTTAGCTCAGCTATCCCGCTGCGTTCGAGGCAGTGCAGATCACCGGAATCCTGCTTTCTCTCAGGGTCTGGTGAAGCAGCGGGTCTCTGGCAGCGCAAATGCCCTGACATGTTCTCTTGCTCTCTGGGATGCCTCATCCTACAGGTAGAGCAAGTTAATTATTAACCTGCCTCAGCCCCTGCAGACCCCAGTGACTCCCAGCTGAATCACTAACCCTGGCAGCAGGAAGAGCTCAGCCTTGCAAGGCTGGTGCCCTGGGGCTCCGAAAGCTGCTGTTTAATGATAAAAGAAGAAAATGAGAAGCACCGCTTCACAGAAGCCACAACTGGGAAGTGTGGGAATCAGGGCAGAAGGCTGGTGGGAGCAAAAGGCACTGGCTTTGTGTGCCAGCTGCCTGTGGCAGGGTCCAGAGCGGGCTGGTGTTCTGGGATGTCACTTGTCCCAGTCCCACACTGCCTGTCATGGCCAGGGGTTTGGTGAGCCCATCTCCTCTGAGAGAGCATCAGAAGAGTCCTGGGCTGGTGGCTCCTCTCTAACCTGGCCCCGCAGCAGCTGGTTACCTCCTGCTCTTGGAGGTGTTTCTTCTGAAAAGACCGGAGTGGGAAAGGGAAAAGCCAAGGCTTTCTCCAGGCCACACAAGAAGCTTTGCGGCTGAGCAGGGAGTTTGAATCCCATCAGCCCCAGGCGAGGGTAACATCCAAACAACTGCTCCACCCTCCTTCCTTCCCTGAAGAGATCCCACACTCTCTTGTGATCCCAAATGAATAAACTCTTGGTGACTCTTGTTCTGTCAGTGTGCAGGATTCGTTTTCCAGGATCCACTAACATGACAGCTCTCCCTGTTCCCCAGGGGAAGCACCCACAATCTGTCTTGGACCTGGTCCCGCCAAGTGATGCCCAACCCTTTGGGATGCCAGCTGAGTCGTGCAGGGAGCCAGGCCCATGCCACATCCCCATTGCTCTCATTCATAAATAACGGGCAGGACTGTGAAACCGTCCCAGTCCTGCTGTGCTTCCCACCTGTATGTTCAAGACACGTTCCCCAGGAGAGGATGGTGTTTACCCACGGCCACCTCACAGTAGGATGTCAGTCCTGCTCCCTTCTCAGGCTGACATGAGGAAAAGCAAATGGTCCTTTGGGTTGGAACGGGCCAAGCTGGGAGCAGCTGAGTAGAAGGGGGCTACAGGGCCCCTGCTTGTGGGGAGCAGGCGTTTGAATCTCTGCAGCAACCCAAAGTACGTCAGCGGGGCTGCTCAGAACCGGGTCCTGCAATACACCGAGCCCTTGACACGCACCTCGTGACCAGTTAAACACACCTAGCCAGCAGCTTCAAACCCAAGAGATAATGCCATGCTGCTGACCTCTGAAATCACCTCTGTCTCGCTGTGAGTCTCTGCCTCAGTTTCCCTTTCCCCCACATCCACACAGCCTCTTTGCCACGCAGCACACAAGATGCATGGCATCTCAACCCAACAGGACTCCAAAGCTTGGTCCTCACCCCTGGCCCACACAAAGGGACCGAGCGAACATACTGGGGTCCGTTGTTTCACCTTTGTTTTCCCCAAACAGTGCTGGAAAATGGGCCATAACGCCACATGGCTGGTACGTGCCCGGGACAGACCTGCCCTTCCTGATTACCTTCCCAAGGCTTATTGCTAATACACTGCCTGCTCCGTCTCATTCCAGCGTGTGAATGAATCATCCCACCTTTGAATGCTCCCTCTCATTTTCCCTTCCCAGAAAAAAAAGAACCAAGAGCAAAGAGCTGGGTGAGGTATTCCCACCATGCTGCCTGCTTTACTGTCACCAAAAACCCTCCCACCCTGTCACACATTTTGGCTGATAGTAGGTCCCCTCAGTACCCGACTTGGGACCCTGGGGCAGCCAGGTCTGCTGATGCTCATCCCTTCCTGGGCTGTAGATGTGACCTCTACCTCCTTGAGACCGACCTACTGCTACCCCAGATCCAGACCCATCATCCCTCTTCCGCACAGCCCTGTCCTTGGGATGGGTGGGAATAATCTGTGGGAGCTGTGGGGAGCGGGGTTGGATGTGTTTGTACTTGCCTTTCCTGGAATATACTGCAGAATTTTGTCTGTGGTTGTATCTCTCTCCTGTCCTCCTTCTGTACTGAAAAAGCTGGGCAGTTGTTTCTTGCCATTTTGCCTACAGAGGGGAGAAAAAAACCAAAACACACATGCAAACACAGCTCTAGACTGATGCGTAGTGAATTCTGCCCAGAAATAAGGAAGCCAGAAAGCTAAATAAGCAATTTGTCACGGGCTTTCTAATCATCCCAGCCTGGCAAAGGGCTGATAAACAGCCTGGGAGAATTGTAATGGGGGTTGTGCTGCATTTGCTGGTGTTTCTTTGCTTTTTTACATGTCTTTGCATAACCAAACGATCAGCTAGGCTCATCCGTGTCTCCAAATCAGCAGAGGGACCAGATGTTCCATTGCAAAACAGAAAGACCAAATCCAGCCCTGACAACTATTCCAAAGCCTCTGGAGTGGAGATGAATGGGTACACATACACCAACATATATTCACAAACAGGTTTTATTTCTATCTCTGCGGTTTTCCTCTCTTTCCTTCCACTCCCAGCAAGGCCCCCAGCTCCTCCGTGCACGCACACCACTAACGAGCAGTTACGGTGCCGTTTAAGCAGCACCGGCTGCTTTGTTGGGACTTCCCAGCCGTTGCTCTCTCTTTCGACCACATCGCAGCGTTCTGTTGGGCAGAAACCAGGCTTATCTCTACGGCGAGTCACGAGCGTGGGAAGCCGGGAGGCAACGGGGACAGGCGGTGTTCTGGGGCTTGGCTGTTCCACTGCACCTACCCGATGTCACCCCCCCAGGGTCCAAATTCCCTAGCTGATCCCCTCTCTTTCACCCCACAGACTCCTGGAGGTTTGCTCCCAATTTATGGCAGCACAGGAGTCCAGGGCAAGCGTTTCAGCACCCGCTCTTGATTAGAAACCCCTCAACCAGCAGAGTTGATGGGGTTTGTCCCAAGCCCAGCCCGTGAGCCCAACGTAGATGGGTCCGGCAGGTTGTAAGGAATCGCCCAGGCTCCCGACACAGCTCCTTCCCAGCCCAGAGCGCTCGGGATGGGAGGGCTCTGCCTGGGTACCGGCAGCAGCACGGGCAGTGGGAAGGGCTGGAAGCTGGCTCTGCACTCCCTGGGAAGCTCTATTTTGGGACAGCCGTCCGTCGCTGTGGTACCCGAATGCCACCCCGGCCAGCCCAGCACCACAGTGCCCAGAGGGTTTCACAGCCGTTTTCCCTTGTGTCTTCCTTCGGGGTTACAAACAAATCGTGTGGGCAGAGTGTCGGGATTTGGGGGTTTCCCTCTAAAGTAAGAGGAGCGTGACAGTTGTT